ACGAGCATCGAAAGCAAGAAATTGAATTTCTTGGACATTACAAAAGGATAAAATTATCTTTGTACTTTTAGACCATTCTCACTTCGATTAGAAGAGAAAAAATAGCGTTATTGATGAGAACCGAGCATGTTTTGTTTCGAGAACAAGCCCCTTTTTGTGCTGAGCTGAAAGAGACTTTCTCGTTGCAGCATTGTGCATGGCTTTGTGCTAAGCTTTGATAGAATGTAATTTAATCTAACATACCGATACTGACATATTTGTGATAAAAAGGCCCTTGAAATTGTAAAGTCATTCGTAAAGGGGTGTAGCAAGTGGAAAAAAATAAAATTGGATTAAAGATATTGTGAAAGTATTTTCTAGTCAACATCGTAAAAGACTTGTCCATAGGGCCGTATCCTTTTACAATCGCTCAGACGAAACGCTCGAAACGCCGGTTAGCTTTAATTTTAAACTCTTTACGGTGCCCAATTTACGTTATCAACTCAGTTGATAATACTTAATTACCCAGTTACACTCTCCCACCGACCCAGCACCACAGTTTCTTTAGAAACTTACCCCCTGTATTTATTTATCCTATTACAAGTTGGTACGGTGTATTACTCAAGGTGTAGACACTTAAATATGTTTCATTTCCTGATAATCTTTTCGACCAGCACTTCTGTACCTTCGAGACAGTGGCTGCTTTTCAAAAAAAAAATATATGATCGGTTTGTCAGTTCCAGTTTAAAACGCTTGGTCTTCTCGTCTCTGTATAACATGCGTATCACGCTAAACATTGCTCAAAGTCAAGAATAAAAGGCCAAAAGAAACTTACCCTACGATTTCAATCAGACTCTCGTGATTAAGTGATTATGCTCCTTTGCAAGGCACCGAAAAGAGTGTCGTTGATTTAATTTATGTTTCGAAATCTAATATCCAGCGGACTGGAGCTGTTGACGGAAGTATAAATAAAAGAGATATGGACACGTTGGTTGCGGACGGAAAGACTATATCCGTTTTGTGGGCGTGACGTATATCCGAATCCGGATTAAAGTGGACCCTGGTCAAACGAATTAAAGCTGCAAGTCAGGTGGACTGTACATCTATCAGGGAAAGCTTAAAATTTTTTCGGTCAGCCTCTATCACATATCCCCTTCAACGTTTTGTTGATAACTTCGGCTCTTACTGACTCCGCAAGAGTTAATCAGATCGCTTTATCAATTCGCTCGTTTAGCACTCCACGAAAAAATACAATAACCGGAGGTCTTTTTAGGAAAAGTGTCACGGTATTTTCGGAAATTTGGTTTATTTTGGTTAATTCTGAACATAACCAGACTTAATTTTCAGCATGCTTTAATCAAATAAATGAACGCCATCCACTGCTGTGTTCTTAAACTTTTCCCATTCAACCGCTCCTAACTTTTGTTATGCCTCGCTGAGGCCTGATAGTTTTTAACCCGGCTATTACGAGGTGTAAGTCAACTCTGATCTGTAACTGTTAAAACTAAAATTGGATGGTCCATACCCTTTGAAAAACTCTAACGTTTCTCCCAACTCCTCTAAAAATTGTATCGTAACTAATATGTTGGCCTGAACTATTTTGAGATACAAATCTTAAAGGGTAGCCAATGCGATCTACGACATTGTATCTACGTCTTGGATTGAAGATTTATTTTCAATTTTTTAATCTGAAATGCTCTGGGGAACTTCAATATATTTTCAGTTTCCTTTCGGTCTCTCTACTCTATATTTCTGAATATCATGCACTATTGTATCCATTCACTTTTCAGCTGAGAAAAATCTAAAGGTTCGATCCACCAAGTACAAGAGAGAACGTGTTTTCCAATATCGAGTAGGAGAACTTGTTTTCCAATACTGAGAGTGTCCAATTTAGAAAAGGGGCGTCAAATGTCACAGCACAGTCAATAAATAAGCTCTAGTGTTAATCCGCGTTTTAGATATAGCACAGCAACGGAAGCAAGGTAGTTTAAAAGTAGTTTAAGCCTGACTTTGGCATTGGCAGTCAAGGTTTACAACAAGGCTCAGCGAAAAGCAATGGGTGGCGATACACTCACCTTACATAACAACTGTTTGAGTCTCAAAGCATAGCAGAGGAAATACTATCGGTATCAGGCTTAAGCTTATGCAGAGTTAGGATACGTGGGCTTATTTTCGCAGCGGTTTCAGGGGGTGGGAGTGAAGGGGATTAGAGATGTTTTGCAACCTCTAACTTAAAGGAAGCATGTGCTTGCAAAAACATGTTGTTTTTTTAATCACCTCCATTGAATAGCGCTAAAAGAAATTTAACACTAGCGTCAACTGAGATTCTAAGGAGTACCGGAATTTGTCCTCAAATTAGCAAAGAAATTCGTTTATGAACAGAGCCATTTTAAAAGGAACTCAGTGGCCCTGCCGCGTTCCTCTCTCCCATCCTGCGCACGCGTCAAATGGAGAAATCCCTGACGAGATACTTTTTTCTTTCATATGGCCAAATAAATGCCACATAGGAATTTATCAGTATCTGCCATTACGGTGTGGCTGTATGCCGAGCAGCCGGGCAATTCTCAAAGAATCTCCATTAAAAAAATTCTTTAAAACTTCTTGAAACTATCAGATGTTTGTTCAGAAATGTCGAGTGATGTCCAAAAATAATAATTGATATAAAGGGAAACATTCATTATGCGTAGTTTTGGAAACAAAGGGAGAAGAATAAGTCTGGTTTACCACGTTCATATTAAAAGAGCTCCGGATATTTCTGACAAGCTTTCACTCTACAAAGCATACACAATAATGAGAATTCCATTTTTTAAAATTTTTTTTGCACCAAAGTAATGCTAACCTTGAATTCGCTTTAGACTTCCGTTTCTGGAGTACAATCAAAAGCCCCAAAAATAAATGAATAAAAAAATAAATAAAAACAGAGAGAAAGACACAAGCATTAACCCTATTTCCATATAACACTTTTTTCGCCATCCTTTGTTTAATAAATAAGAAAAGCGCTTTATAGACTTAAAGCGCAAGCGAAGTTTTCTCTGCGATAGGAAGTGTTCCAGGTTGTCGATCAATTTAGTTAGTTACATTTACCTTTCTATTGTTGTAGCTCCTCTGTTCACAGAAATTCGATGCGATGAGGAAAACAAGTTTCCTTTCTACGAACAGGTTCGACGAAAGTCATTTTAATATTATCACAAAAGATGGTTTTGAAGCCTGACTAGGTTGATATTATCAGATGGAAATACGGAAGTAGACGAACGGAAGACATTTGCGACGTGTGAAGCCTTTTTAGTATCAGTGCTCATTCAAAGAGCATGCAAATCAAACGAAAACGAAGCCGGAAGACAAAAATATCCAATGAATTCATTAACAAAAAATGTCGCTTGAAGAAAATTGACAACAAGGAATTAGGGGCTTTTAACTGCCGCTAGTTTGATTTCGCTGTTTCAATCCCATACTGACGACATTAATGTCAAAATAGATCTCGACAGTCGAAAAAAAATTAACTTTTGGAAGCCGAACCAATATACATTGATTCAAGTTAGTGGGAATAACTTAGTTAGAAGTAACCAGGTTTGAAGTCATATTTAGCTGTACTTTGATCAATGATACTTATCGGATAAACAAACAAACCGAAAATATTTCTAGAAAGTTAAAGTGAACATAAATATTATAAGGATAAAAACAAACTGAATTATAGATACGCAAGTGAAGAGGAACATTCGCAAAATTTATCTCATCGTCTACTCAAGACCTCTTTCGAACAGTTTATGATCGATCTCAGTTCATGCGATCATACAAAATTGTGATTGATTATAGATCTAAAATCAAACCATTTAAGGTAGTAATCTACTTGTAAAGCGTCTGACGTATCAAAAAAGACCAAGTTCAACTACATCAAACATACGATATGCAGAATTTGTTGAGTTTTTTTGCGTGGGATGAAGATCAATTTATTCAACTGACCGATGTATTTTATCGGCGCCATTTAAGATTTCTAGCCACTGTAAATTAACAACCACAGCAGAACTACGGAATCAAAAATAGCGGCAACAAAGTTTATTAAGAGCTATGAATAGCAAAGAACAATCCTAAATACCTCCCCTCACCTAAAGGAAAAATTCCCACCCGTTGTCAATATTGGGTTTTTTTAGACCATTTCTTTAAATCAACATGGAAATACGCTCTCCGAAATATGTAACACACAAACATTGTAAATTTAGCTCTAAATAACCATGAAACTTTGCCAAATACACTCAAACCTAACTTTACATCCACGGATATGCCCTAGTTAAAATCGAGTCCCGCTGTCGCTTATGGTAAATTCGGGATTGTGGATAAATTGCCATTGATTTAGGTTTATCTAAAAAGACGTCATCAAACTCAATGGTGTAGATCAATTTTATACCATACAAATTAAAATTTAATTGTAGATACCTTAGAACGACGCCAAAAATAGCTTCTCCAACGCAGGTTTAGTAAAGATGGCTCAGCGAGGGAACAAAATAAGAAAGCACAGCTTGGACAGGATATAGAGGATAAAAAGTTGTGAAGGTAGCGTGGGCGAGACGAGATGCCTCTTTGACGTCACCATCACGTCAAGAATAAGACCGTATCCATGGCAGGCTTTCTATCAGTTTCCAAGCAAACAAACTGAGGACGTAATTGTTCATTCAATACCCAGACGGCTGTTATGGTTCAGAATTCAGTGCCAAATGGAGCTGTGTTTGCAGAAATGTGGAAAATGGCACACAGTTGAATTCGGGCTCTAGTTTACATTGGTTCTTTGAAATTAAAGGAGCGAATCCAAAATGAATGTATATTGACTCAGCAACTCTAAATTAAAGAAATTAAAGACACAAAAGGAAGCAAACGAAACCGTTTCATAAACCAAGTGCTAAAACCGGATCAAGAGCTATTATCAGCAACACAGACATGTACAAGGGGCGATGTGGGGGGGGGGGGAGGAGGGATTAAAGAAAATGGAAGGGGGGGTTGGGGTTGCCATTTCCTCCCACCTGCAACACTGGGATTCAGGCTTGTTTTATTCTATTGAAACGAAACCTCGTTATTTTTACAGTTACAAATGAAGTACAGATCCTAGGCCAGTCGAGGCGAGTCGTGTGAAGAGAACAAAAGGAAATTCCGCGGAAACCTTGTTGATGCCTATTTTAGGGCAAGGCATGAAGAAAAAACGATGCTGCTTTTCTTACGTTTGATTTCAAACAAAGAGCACGTTTTAGCTAGTTATTTTTCGTCATCTTGCTTTGTGTGAGCTGTTCCCTGGACTCGCCTCTTTAAGAAAACGCCCACAGAAAACGTGGAAACCCGGCATTTTGCAGGCGGTTAAAAGGATTAACGCAATGGATGACTAAAAATAATGGCTTTTAGACTTATTTGGATAAAATTCAATGTTTCTCCATGAAATCCATATTTTGCGCATGTTTTGATGCACTTAAAAGAGCTATAACATCAACGAGTCAGCAATCATCGTAAAACTTCTCGACATTTTCCATGAGTGCGATAAGAGGTACAGCATTATACGGAAAATGTCCCCCGGATAACAGCCTCCTTACTGACATTCGCAGTCGAATCAGCATCGTCATAATTTTATCGAAAACCTTGCATGACTTGTCTGCAACACAAACAATATGACTCGCGTTTGCGACAGACGAGTCAAATGTTCCCACGCTGTTGTTATCAAAGGTCATCGAATGTAGTTCGCAGCTGTGGGAGCCCTCAAAAACACAGTCAGCCGTTGTCTCTGAATTTTCACTTTGACTTTCGATTTCCATGTCGGATTCGTCGCTTGAATAGTACGACTCAAGAATGCTTTTCAAGCCACCAAGGTAATCACAGTCATTTCTTCCCAAGCGATGATCCGTAGAACGAATTTCTGAACTGTTCTTTGAAATTGTGTCAATGCAAATATGGTTGTAAGGTTGTTTGCCCTTTTGAGATGGAGGAAACGTTTTTAACATCTGCGCTCCAGAAACTTCCTGCGAAGACTCAACATCCTGTTCAAGCTTTCCGCATTCATTTTTTCTTCGCCTTTCACTACACGTTTCCAAATCGCCGTATATCGCTTTGTCCTCTTCTTCATCGATTTGCCTGTAAGTCGCCAACGATTGGGTGAATTCTGTCCAATCACTGACAACAAAGCGTAAATATTTTGTCAGATACTCCAGAAATCGCGTCTCTGATGAAATAAGAAGGTCGAGAAGTAACGAGGGATCAAACCCAACTGATTCGGTGAAAGCAGCAAACAACCAGTGCGGGTTCAGCTGTTGTAAAATTTTCATGGAAATTTCATCGCTTGAAAAATTCCTGAAAATAAATTTGGCAAAGAAAATGTTAGAAGAAAAATATGCAACGTTTTACACAATTGGAAGTTAGGTAAAAAGTAAATCGACTGGTGAGACGAAGGAAGAGAATAATATTTTATTTCCACCCGTGGACTGTTGAAAAGAGAAAGTCACTTTAAATAACCCTTAAGGACACAAAATTCGAATGTGAAATCGATCTTCGCAGTAATGAACACTACTTAAACAGTAGTGAAAATAAGGCCTGAAAATATTCAGGCCTGTACGGGATTTGAACCCATGATCTCTGCGATACTGGTGCAGCGCTCTACCAACTGAGCTGGTCATTACGTTGATTCGTAATAAACCTGTGAAGTGGTGAATCAATGACTGTGAATGTGAAAATCATATTTAAGTGAGCTGCGCATTAAGAAATGTATATGAAATTGATCCTGTACAGGCCTAAATATTTTCAGGCCTTATTTTTCACTACTGTTTAAGTAGTAAAAAAAGCACAGCAGAGCATCATGCTTCATAAGATCACGCATGACCAGTCGACCTCATCGCCTGAAGAAGACTAGTAGTATGCAGTCGAAACGTCGCGATCTACATCACACGTGACTACATCTTGAGACAAACGAAGAAGTTAGCTTTTATTGTTTAAGTAGTGTTCATTACTGCGAAGATCGCTTTCATATTCATTTCTTGATCTGCAGGTCGCATATATGATTTCCATGTATTCATAGTCATTAAAACAAAATTTGAAGTAAACGTGTACTTACTGAATAAATTTATATAATTTGTATGATACCAAGTATTTCTCTTGCAGTTTTACGTCATTGTTACCTTCGCTTCCCCTGCCGGATTTGTCGCTTGAACAATAAGGCTGTGAACAGTGCGGCTCTAATCAACACTTTTCAAGCTGCTAAGTTGATTGACACTGATTTTCTACAACATAACAACTGGAAGAGTGGGATGCAAAGCCTTAACGTTGCCCTTAGGGTAAGTTTCACTCCAAGGACTGTTGAATCTCCAACCCTCATCCATACGCAAGGAAGTGAAAGTTGCCAACAACTGCAAACCACAGCTGACTTTAAAAGACATAACATCCTCCTAGGAACAAGGGCCCACTAAAAGACCGCCAGATATTTTCCCTTGCAATTTTTGTAACAATACCCGAAGGGGTTTACTTATTAAATACACATTTTAAACAAGATTTCAAAACTCTCACTTGTGAAGTTCTTGAAAAAGCAACAGGAGAGCTAACATCAACTCAACAAGTTCATCATCCTGGTCAACAAACAGTGCTATGAGACTGGTGGAGAGTTCTGTTTCAGTGGAATTCTGTGCAGATGACTTGCTGTTGAAAGGATTACCACAAGCAAGAGAAAGAACATCCCTGAAACACAGGTTCACACAAGATAAAGACAGCTTCTGGAATAAAAATGAACCTGAAAAGACACATGAAATAAATATTACCATCAATAGTCTTGCTTCTCTGAGCCTTAATCATCTCTACCCTCAACACCCTGACAACATTATGGATATTCCCTTGCTCCATAGGCAGTTCCTAAGGTACTGAAATGGAGAATTTGTGTGGTTGGTGATCATTTCCTTTATTCTCATGACCTTAATGTGTGATTCAGGGATGATAATGTAGGGAGAAATTAGATTCTTGTCACTCTTAGAGGTCAAAGGGTTAAAAGTAATGTAGTTTGCCACTCAAACCTGTACATACCCTCCTGCTGAACAGCTGATTTTAGCACAATGAAAGCAGATTTGAAAACCGTCAGTGAAGCTTTCCTCAGAGCTAGTAAGTCAGTCCTTTCTGTCTGCCCAGTAAGTCCTGGATGACTTTTTATTTCTGTTCCACTGAATCCCACAATTCCTGAGGGGTTCCTGGGTATTCTGGCGAGGAGACAACACTCAACAACACTCAGGAAAGAGACTGAGGGGCTCCTTAAGATTTTATGTAATTTACTGTCTTTATTTTCATGTGTAAACAATACTGAGCTTGGAATAAATAATACATTGTACAAAATCTCCAAAATCTTTTTAAAAATCAGCGGTGGAAGTCTTGGGTGGTGAAGGTACTGGGTCAACATAGCTGTAACAATGCAAAACTGATTGACAGTATCATCTGTTGTATCAGTACTTATCATTCTTGTGGCAAAGATACTACTGGAGTCCCATTCATACAGTTTGGCTGCTATGTGTCTGCTACCATTGGTTGACCCAAATTCTTGGGGTCCCAGGAAAGAACATTGTTCTCCAATGCAGCTTTTCAAATCAGTTACTTCCTTATTTAGACATGCTTCAAAGTTGAAATTCATGTATTTTGCAATTTCTGCCATAAAATGAAGGAAGGCAAGTAGGTTATTCTCTTTTGTCCCAAAAATGGCTTCTTTCTTCACATTTTCTTGTTCATGGATGGCATCTCCTAATTTCAGACTAGCCCAAAGTACAATGAAGTCTTCAGCTAGCCCTGTATGTTGACAGTTCTCCATAAAAGAATACATTCCATTGGGTCGCACAATTAAAGGAACATATAAAAAAAAAATATGTCTTAAATTAACATTCCCCAAAAGTACCTCTACTAATTCATTTCTTGAAAGACTAGTATCTGTAAAATTATTTTCATCAGTAGTGCAGGAGCAGGTGTGACCGCTTGTACCTTCTATATGTTGCTGGTAATTCCTAGGCTTCTTTGGTGTCTCCCGTACGTTTTTGAGAATATTTTGTAACATTTCCATGGCATAAAGCTTTTTCCAAGGACGCTCAGTTTCTTTCCCGAAGTCAAAGAGTTTCAGAAACCACTCGCCTCTTATAGTTTGCTTAGAAACCACTTGAAAAATCAACACAATCGCTTTAGTTGCAGAGAACACAACATGTTGGTTGCTGTCTCCCAGAAGTTTTAACAGACAGTCTAATAAGTCGTATTTGGAAACAAGATCATCTGTTATGACTTTCAAATATGGGCAATTAATAGTTTCAAACCTCTGATAAAGCTTCTGAACTACAGTTAGAGCCAGTAGTAAGTTATCCACCATTGCATGATTTATCGTGAAGATTTCAGAGATTTGTAGCCAGTTTACAAGTGACCTCCAAATTTCTTTCGCACACATCTCCTTGAAGCAATTGTAAGTGAAAGCTTTAAAATATAGCCCTTCTAGTTTATCCATAACCTTCAATTTACCTATAAGGAAATCATTTCAAGAGAAACAACAGCTCACGCACAACCGTCCACCATATTACTGTCACAATCATTTATCCTTACACGATGTAAACAGGGCAACCGCTCTTCCACTTTCTCGCTTTCTGGTCGACTGCTGGCTCATAAGAAAGAACATATGCGCAGTATATACTTCCTGTTACAGCACTTTAATATTTTGCGTACAAAATGTCCGGTCCGCGCAGACCACCTCCTCCCATACCAAAACCAGGTATGTGCTAAAATACACTGATTTTAGCTCATTTCGCGAATTATTCATGTTGCTTTTCTGTTTAATTTACAGGTCACGTTCAAGTCGTAAGAGCTTTGTACAATTACACAGCTCAACAGGTAAGGATCGTGTAAAAAAAATTTCAATACTTGAAAGCGTTCGAAAGTTTGCCGTAAACAACCGCTTTGAATAATGTAGTTTTAGAAAATGCTCGATCGCGTAAATTAGTTGTTATTTTAATACTGTCTTGTGTTCTTTTGTAGCCAGATGAAATCAGCTTCGAAGAAGGAGATATTTTGTACATAATCGACAGGGTATGGACATAGTTCCCGGTATTCATATGTTTATTTAAAACGTATCGCCTGTTTTATATTACAAAGTCTCATATCGTTGAAGAAGGGCGCACCCAAGATTTCCATTACCACCTAGCCTTGATTTTAGGGGTTTTATTTTATACTTCAGATTTTGAATCGGCTGAAAATCGAATCTATGCCTTCAGCTAGCTTTTATTAGCGTGGAATTGAGTAGAACTATGTTAACGACCTGTATCGTTTCTGAGCAGCTTAGTGGTGTACAGGAATGTACATTATTCCATTGACCGTGCAGATCATAATATCACTTCAAATACAACAATTTCAAACAAAAACTGAACTTTCTAAGTTGCTAGATTTTGATGTTTTAAGATTTACCATGGAACCATATGCTTCAGCACAAGGTTCTGTGGAAGAGACTTTAGGAAGTTAATCCGCTACAGCCTTGTAGCAGTTGATCCTTTGCACCCAAAAATGGGTATCCATACTCCCCATACAGTCCTTTGAACATTTCCTGTGGTGCTGATATGGAGAACTTGTTTAACAACCAATGGCTTCTTCAGTTGGTGATCATTTCCTTTATTTTTGTGACCTTAATACTTGATTCAGGGGTGATATTGGAAAGAGAAATTAGATACTGGTCACTCTTAGGGGTAATGTCTGTTTTGTTACACTGAATTTAATTTTGGCATGAAATCTTGATTACATGTCTGTAACAAGATTATTCATGTTAAAAGATCTTATATATTCCCTTTGTCAACTCTTGATTCTGACACCTTCATCAAAATAGGGCACTGGTCCATGGTGGAAAGCAAAAGTTGGGGGCAAGACAGGATTGATACCATCTAATTATGGTGAGGGCTCATACTTTCAGTCAGATACATTATAACAAGAATTAATCATGTTTACATTCTAATCATTAGAGTTACCTTTCAGAACTTTCTTATCAACTTTCAGTACAATGGGGTGTATTTTTTTATTATCACAAGAATTAATCATGTTTACATTCTAATCATTAGAGTTACCTTTCAGAACTTTCTTATCAACTTTCAGTACAATGGGGTGTATTTTTTTATGTTGTATGATGTTAGGAGCCTGTTTGCATAAATTTATCCTTTTGGGATTATCATGTTTCAGTTGGTGAGCACACTGAATCAGTAGAAAATCCTCTACATGAAGCAGCAAAAAGAGGTAGTAATATCTGTGTATCCATAACTTTTATGTGCAGTGAATATTAAAGAATTTTAACTGTATTGCTCGATACACAAAAAGATTGACAAGTGCTTGCATGTATAACCATTCCTACTTGTCAATACATGTCTGAATTAAATTGATTTATAGTAATTGTAAATTAAGACTGAATACAGATGAGGTTTTTAGATAATGAATCCATTTATTTCCAGCTATAAAGCCAACTAAATACTCCTTACTTCTATCTTCTCAGCCAGTAATTTTGTCTGATCCACATGAAGTGTGTTGTAGTTGAGTTCTAGTCAGGTTAGTCAGAAAGAAGAAGGAGTTAGACATTTTCAGTTGTTAGGATTGTATGTTTACTTCTTGTATATAATCAGCAGCCTGATAGTCAGAAGTGTTTTAGCATGCACTACACCATGCTGTTAAGCATCATGCATCAGCAGGTAGCTTCTTGCTAGGATTAAGTCTGATGCTTTCTTTCAATAGCAAATCATATATTAACCCTTTAGGTTATAACATCAGCATACATATTCTCCATACTGTTCTCTATACATTTCCTATAGTGTTGACCAGGAGAATCTGTATAACAATCGAAAGCTTCCTAAGTGATCATTTCTGTTACTATTCTGTCCTTAATTTGTGATTCAGTGATGATATGTTAAGAAGAAATTAGATGTTTGTCATTTTTAGGGATCAAAAGATTAAGAAAGAATTCTAAATATCAAGATCTTATGAGTAACTATTTTATAAAATCAAGATGATAACAAGCATCATTCTGTTCTGGTCACTGTTTAAAAGGCAAAGAGGCTGGAACTACTGAACATTTCAGTCTTATTCAATTATTTCTAGGCAACATTGGCTTTCTTCAGGAATGCCTTCAAAACAAAGTAAGATCATCGCATTTGTTTTTTCACTAGATTTACTTACAACCAGAACTGTTTAGAAAATGAGTTCTTAGAGGAGCTCATATTAAATAACAAAGCACTGACAAGGTTACAAAATAAGCCATCAACTCTCGCAATTGCTAACAATCTCTCTGCAGAAAAATGTGCCAGCTATTCTGAATGCTTGAGGTAAGGTTTTCAGCATGGAGGTGTGACATTGTGCCACTTGTCTTGTATCACAGTGTGGTTAAACTAGAAATCCTTTTGAAAACCCTGCAAAGGAATAATTTTCTTATGGTGTCATTTTTTTTATTTTTTATTTTAATTAACTTTTGTTTGCTCTACAGGTATCAGTCAATGGCCTTGACAAAGCAGGATCCACCCCTCTTCACTGGGCAGCACAAGGAGGACACACAGGTATATATCTATCCTTTTCAATAACTTGGAAGTTCTATGGCTTAGAGGCAAAATTGTGATTTCATCTCTCACTATAGTTTACAGTTACTCTAGGCAAAATTTAGCAAATTCCTTCAATCATGACTCAGACTATGACCTTATTTCTGAAATTACACACGTTTCCTGTGAGGTTCAAAGCATGATTGACAGTAACATAAACTGAATATTCAATGATATATTTCCAACTTCTTTGTCTGCATGTTGCTGAAATGAACAGAATGGTTTTAATTTTAAAGAGCAAAGTGTGATAACTAATGGTTTTTACTTCACGACTGATTGGGACTCAGGTAGTAGTTTATTAATGAATGTAATGTACTTTTATAATTCAAAACAGAATGTGTAAAGATATTACTTGCCCAGCCAAGAATTCAGATATCAGTTCAGGTATGTTCTTTCATTTGGCTTGTTAAATTAAGCTGACTTGATGCAACTTGCAAATTTGATTTCATTTTTATGGGAGTTATTAATTAAGGTGAACTTGATACTAATTTTCTTGCAGAACAAGCTGGGAGACACCCCTTTGCATTCAGCTTCATGGAAGGGTCATCCAGACATTGTGGAGTTACTGCTAGAGCGAGGTAGTGAACATTGCAATCTTTAGTATAGGATAGGGAGTGATAAGGAAATTGAAAGGGTTAAACCCTGATTAACTGATACTTTTAATGAAAAAATAGGGGCAAGAACAGACATACAGAACAATGAAAAACAAACTCCTGCTGACCTAGCAAGAGATCCAGATGTTGGTAGACTGTTACGAGGGGCTGTTGGTAAGTAAGATTATTTTCTCTACTAATTGTGAGGTCAATGAAAAATTGCATATTTTTGGTTTACTAAAAGAGTTTAAATTAATGTGCAATGAGTGCTACAGTTTAATTTAAGTTGGTGCATAACAGATGCTGCTTCGTTTTGCTCTTGACTTGCATTTTATGATGATCAAACTAAACAATACCAATTAGAGAGTGTCCTTTATGTCTCAGAAGCCCCCAGTGCAGACGATTATGGTGAAGAAGAAGATTCTGATTGAGATAACTTGATAAAAGTTTGGTTTAATGCAGCAAGAGGAGATAAAACTCATTAGCTAGTAAATAATAATTATGTGAAAGGACATTTTCACATCAGCATTACACCAGCACAGTACAGTTGTTTCATGTCACTGTTTTCATTCTCAGCATGATGTATACTCATAGTAAATTTCTATATTTTTTTCATTAACATCTTTGTCAATCAGTGATGAGGAGGGTATACCTAATCTGTGACAAAAGATACATTTTAACCTTTTTTGTGTAAAGATAAGCCTGTCAAACACCTGGTACTGGTTTATGCAGTGAGTATGGTTGAAGGGATAAAAGGCAATTTATATTCTTCATCCCACTGGCAGTTTGTATACTGCATTATACATTTTAGAATATGTAAAATCCTAGAATACATATTCATTCGATGATAAAAATAATTACTTACAGTGTGGCCATTGTCACCAAGCTTTAATGCAGGAAAAAAGACAAGACTGATCTCAGGAATTTAGGAATGTTAATTCCTATTCATCTTTAATTGTTTGATTGCGCCGGCCTGGTAAAGAATTTGCTGATGGTGCAAGGAGAAATTATTATTTAGCTTTTGTGTAGAATAAAAGAAAGCTTACTCATGATAATCATAAGTAAAAGATGAAGAAGAAGTTTAACCCTTTTACTCCTGTGAGTGACAGTATACAATAGTGTTCTCCTTTTCAGGCAGTAACCAGTAACATTTACTGCCTGTAGTACCTCTTATTACCATTTAAAATTGCTTGGAATTCTTGAAAATTCAACAGGTAAAAGGATTGCTTTACCAGTTTAAAAATTTATTTTACCTGTTATGCTTAAAATTGGGGAGAACACTGATACAATATCATGTAGGCAAGTGATGAGAATAAAGAAAAGTATCAATTATGGGATTACTGCTTGATCTGATACCAAATCCTCCAAACTAACATAATGAGAATCATTTGGCAGACAGTAAGGAGAATTACTAAAGAGATCTTGGGAGCTAAAGGGTTAACAAATATAATTATCAGTAATTTTTCATTGATTGTTTAAGTATAGCATTTTGTAGGAGAGAGACAGATCTAATACAGGGAATGAATGGAAATTAACACTGAAGTTACAAAATTTTCTATAAGAAAAACAAAAATGAAAAAAAATTAATGAGCCAAGTATCCTTCCAAACAGAAGACACTAACAATGTTGTAATGTTGTGTATAGAACTCTGTTCTTTACCACAAACTTGTTACAGAACTTTATTTTGGAAAAACTTTCAATAAAATAATTTTGCAGACAGCAATCCCTTAGTATTTATTTGACCTTACGTAAACTGGTTACCCAAGTATCAAATTTAATGAGTACATTGTGTGCACATGATTGTTTTCAGCTGCATCTCTCAGTTTTGTTAGTAGAAAGAAAAATTAATAAATTTTTTCATTTATTCTTAACCATCTTAAGACTGTTCTCAGGGAACCTAATGACAATGATTTTAACTTAATTTCTTGTGTCAATAAAAGACAAGTGAATACACTTGGGTTGTGTGTCATAGAACCTTTTGCTTCTAACTTGTATTCAACCTAATCTAAAAATTGTACAAGTTTTTGTTTGTATTTCTCTACAGTAAATGACAAACTTTTTCCCTAAAAAAAAAAAGGCTATGCTGAGATATGGGTTTTGCTTTTCAATTTGACTGACTCAGCAACGAGTTATTGATTCAAGACAAAAGCTGGCAGTTCTAGGTATCGATAGTCCTTAGTTAAAGGGTGGATTATGATTGTGGAGGGCATTCATTGCAGAAGAAAATCAGATGAAAGAAGAGAAGAAAATAAACTTCCCAGCAAAATGATCTGAATTTACCTATAAGATTAGTTTCTTTATTCCTTATTAATGTTCTTAAACATATGTTTTACTTTGCATTTGTACTTAGTTAAAAAAAACAACAAGTGAATATCAATTTGCCCATTTTTAGTCAGACTACAGTTGAGTTAATTTATCCATCGATTCCTTAAGTCAGAACTTCTTTCGTTACACTGGCTTGAGAAACTAGAGTTGTCTTTGTCTGTTGAATGGGAGGTAAAAAGTGAGGTCTCTGCGGTTGACATCCAGATTGTTCGTAAATTTTCCCTCGGTGATCACCCACGTGCAAGTTGCTCCCGCCATGAGCTCTCAAAGTCTGTTTTATCTCAAAGGACTTCAATCTTTGGTTTATTTCGACAGCCTCCCGAAGTAACTCATCAAGTTGCTCCTCCGAAAGTGCGTCTAAGTTCTCCATAAGATTTTCGTAAGTTTTTTCGGCTAATCCAAGATCATTATCTCCCGCAGGGTTATGACAAATCTTTCACTCTGAACATCCGCAAAAGGGACACTACCTTGTTCTGCAAGCATAAACAAGTTCGTTCCTCCTGAAACAGTCATAAATTCCGGCAAGAAGTGTATGTTTATCCCCAACCAAAGGCTACAGCAAATGTCTGCTCAATTGCCGTGAGTCCTTCGCAAACACAAATAACAATGTTTACAATAACTTTTTCAACTCACGCCAGCTGTGAAGATCTCTTGTTCTCGGGTGCCTTGGTTACATCTCATTTTCAGCATGGTTGAAATAGCCAATCAGAGTACTGGATATTTGCTCCTTTGGGAGTCTTCCAAATATGGACTGCAAGGACAAGGCAAAGTAGAGATATGAATACTGCGCGCCAAAGAGCGAAAGTTTTTAATCTTCAAGGAGACCCATATGAACAACTCATGCGGCCGATTTCAGTGTAGGGCACCCGAATTTCATATCCATAAACAAGGAGAATATAAAACTTTCTCTCCTCTCAGAGAATGGCTCTTTACCGTTAAAAAGTGTCAAAACTTGTGAATACTTCCAACCGTTCGAATATACATCATGGCGGAAGTGGGTATGTTTACTACTACAAATAAAGTAACGCAGAATAAAACTCAGATCCACGAGCAGGACGTCGAATTTCGTACTGGAAATGATCCTTGCAAGCACATTTCAGTGACTGTTGAGAATAACGATGTTTTGGGTGAAAAACGTGATGTAAATTTCAACAACAAGACGGCATGTCCCAGAGGACCAGATCAGGGAAATGGAGAATATACTAACTCATGTGCGAATGAACCATTTCAGAGTGAAAATCTCCGGTGTGACACTCAAATTTCGTTAAATACCTCAAGTCTCACTTCAGTTTATCACTGTTCTGGTAGATCGGGATTTGCAGAACAGATGGAAACAGCACCAGCTATTACTTTTCCAGATACATCAACTGCAGATCCACATGGTACAGGTTTAATCACGAACACCTCAACGGTGGCCAATAATGACACAAAACCTCTTTATTTCACAAGATCAACAACAATCTCTACACCAGCTGAAAAAGATACCTCGCCCACTACTGACGTTTTGCCCACTATTCCCGAACCAGTAGTTTTAGGGATGATGCCTACCACTGCATCTTCAGCCCAGATGTTGATTCAAGAGCGTGACTGTGTTGGTACAAATTCATCACCACCTCAAACTGTAATTCCTCAAAGTCTAACCCAAACGCTTATTTCTTTTCCAGAAGGTGTTTCAACTACTGCTGTAACACCAGAGAATTCCAATGCTGTTGCAGAAAATCCAAATTTAATAGCTCAGTCTACCTCAATATCAGCGACAGTCTTAACTGGGTCAAGCGTTTCATCTCTGGTAAATTCAAGTAGTTCTGTGGTGTTCACTACGACCTCAGAAGTGTAAAAAAATTTCGCTCCCGGAGTTCCAGTCCCGGATGATGGAACAGCCACTATAAACACCATCCAAACAGCTGCAAATTCTTGTGCTGAAAACAATGATTCAGCATCTGTTTGTAACAGTTCAAGTAGTCTTCTTGATATTCCAACCATTTTTTCAAACTTTACACCGTGCATCAAATGTAATTCTATTCTTGTCTGTTCCTGCCCTGGACCATCCGGTGTTGGAGGGGATAATGGCAGTGTTCTTCCAACATGTCAAGCTTCCTGTCAAGGTCCTTGTACTTGTGAAGAGATGGAAGTGGATAAAAAAGAAGATTTGAAACCATTTGAACAAGATGTGAAACCTCAAGAATTTCCCACTCCAATTGTGGTAAGATTTGAAAGAAGGAGACAAATCATTTCTGTTGTTGTGTTTTTGTGATCTTGTGGACAGTGTTACACTAGTATTGCATTGTAATAATACTGCTTCCTTGACCCTGGCTTGCTCAAGCACACAGTTTTATAATGAGAGTTTTTTCCTTAATTTCCTTGTCGCCATGACTTGACATGTAAAACTGATTTCATACTTAAGACTCTTATTCTTATTAACTTTACATCAATCTCCAAATACAGCTTAAGAAACAAGGTTTTATTTTATCCTCAGCCATTGGATCGCTTGGATCAGCTCTTTGATGGTTTGATTGAATATGACAAGATTATCAAAGCTGAACAGCCAGAGGTAAAAATATGTACAGTATTGTAAGCGTAAAATTGGTCTCGTGTCTTGGGTCATCTGTATTATTTTTTCTTGGGCAAGATGCTCACAGTACCTCAATCCCCAGAGCTTTAAATAAGTATAGTTAAATGTTAGGAAAATCTGATAAAATCCTGGTGGAGAGAGGGTGGAGTGTTACCTTTGACAAAGGGAGAAGAAAAAGGGGAAGAAATTCTCAGAAATCTTATGTTACCAAAACTAAGATAAGCTGAGGGGCTGTTTTAAACAGGCTCACAAATTGACCTCTCCTTCACCCAAACTATGTTTATTTAATTAATTACATGTGCTTCAAATCCTGTTATCATTCATCACTCACTAGTTCTGTGGAGTTGTAGTAACTGCACTAAATTGCTGACTTTATGCTTCTTCTTAACAAAATACAGTCTTTATTTTACTAAAAGGCAATTACCACAAGACTCTTCCCGTACCAGCTGCAAGCTCTAAACTGGATGATAACAAGAGAAAACAACACTGATCTAGCACCATTCTGGAACAAAGTTAACAACAGCACATGGTTTAACAAGGGAACCAACAAGTCCACTGACAGAAAGCCACATTCTTCCAAGGGTGGCATATTGGCAGATGATATGGGTCTGGGTAAAACTCTTGTTGTTATCAGCCTGATTATGGCTAATCATCTTAATGGCAAGCCAATGTTTGCAAGGTCATCTAACAAGGTTTGTTTCTTTGCGGCTTCACCCTTTGACTCCCAAGAGTGATAAGCATTTAATTCTCCAAACAGTATCACCCCTTAATCAAACATGAAGGTTGTAAGAATAAAGGTAATAATCACAAACTCAAGAAGCTCTTGATTGTTAATTCTCCTGGTAAGTACCATTGCAAATGTATAGAGAGCAGTATGGAGAATGTGTATACTGGTGTTAGGGTGAGAATGGTAATTATGACTCAGCAAATTTTATAGCATTTCAGAATGTGAATGTTTTGGTTGCCATTTTGACTGAGAAAATTTTCGGCTTTTAATTTTGGGCATAAGTGACCAATTTGATGGTATGTTTTTGATGCTCATGTAGCATGTAGTGTATTGATTATACATGTACCTATTTTAATCATTGACAACAACCTTAGTATGGGTTCTAAGGTGAGCACTTTGTACTTAATTCAGTAAATGTACTACTGGCAGTAATCCCACTGTACTGGAAATACCTGCATGCTGTAAAATTACTATAAGTCAATAAACTCATATACTTGTATAATGTGTAATGTGTTTATCAATAAAGTTCAGTGAGCCTTTGGCAATGACGAAGGAATAGCCTCTCTATGTCTGAATGATGACACTACATAGCAAGTTGTGATTTTTAATTTTTGTGTCATAGCGGAAGGCATCAAGTTCAGGCCAAGATGGAGAATGTAAACATGAACCAGAAGAGAAGATGGCACACAAGGAAAGAATTGATGAAGATGATCCTATGGATGTGAAAGGGGAAGTTAAAAAAATAAGCATAAAGAAGCGGAGGAACGTTACAACTAAAAAGAAGAGGTGAGTATATTTTTGAGTTTATTTAATTCAGTTAACATCTTTACGATGTTTTCTAAATTAACATGCTCATGCTTCGTGATATTTCAGGTTGGCTGAGAGTAAGATGTTAAAAGAGCCTGGCTTTAAATTCAGGCAAATGTATCTTTCCAAGTTGTCCAGGTATTTTTGTTTGATGATTTTTTTCCCAGACATGTGAGCCCATTTTTACTACCTTTGGAAATAGTATGTGTGGTATTTTAGTTACAGTGGTATATCAGGTAATGTCAATCACTGGAAACACCTTTTCGTTTTGGACTCCCAACTTTTGACTTTCGATGTGACACTTTGCCATTTTGCATCATGACATTTGACAAATGATTTTAAAATTTGACCCAAATATGGGACAGAAAAAGATATCTTGAGGTTCATGGCAATTCAAATCTGAGATTTTGGAATTTCATGGTCAGAAACCTTACAAACTATAGAGCTATGAAGAACTTGTCATTGAGCTAGCTAGGTAATAAACATTTGTAATCTTAACTGTCTCTTGTTATTAATTATACCTACAGCAAATCACCAAAGAAGGAAAAACACAAAGTAACAAAGGAACTGCCACAACCAGTCAGCATTGACAGTGATTTTAACACTGATGTGGCAGCTGAGTCATGGCTGTCTACAGGCAGTGGCAGTATTTGTGGAAGTGGCAGTGGCAGCAGCAAACCCCTACCAGATGATGAGCACAGTGCCACGCTGATTGTGTGTCCATTATCAGTGCTCAGTAACTGGACAGTAAGTACTTAAACACCCTTTCATCTCTTCTTAGCACAACTTGTTGTACAACCTTGGAGCTTGAAAAGAAGAGAGTTATCATTTCCCTCTTAGTCTTTCCTATATTTCCTAACCTCCTCTTCCCAATTTACATCCTTTTCTTACCCCTCCTAAAATTTTTAGGTTTCCTAGTTATTCTCTTGATATACTGTTAATTATTGTTATGAATCACCTCTATTAAATAACACAGGCATTCACTTTGTAGCATTTTACCAATTGAATCAGTGAATCATACCAAGGGGATCCTAAGATATATTTTTTCAGTTCTCGCTGTGACATTACAAAAGATGATAAACATCTCAAAACAATTTCACAGTGGCCTCGCCAGCATGTAATTGAAAACAAGACTTTTCTTTTTCCTTCCTAATTTTTTTCGGATATGTAGGATCAGATATGCAGCCACATCCATACAGATGTCAGTTTGCAAGTGTACATGTATTATGGTGCAGAGCGTTTGAGAGATGTGAATTTCCTCAGACAGCAAGACATTGTGTTAACAACTTATCCAACACTGACAAATGATTATAGGCGGGTAAGAAGTACATATGTGGTCAAATATATTTCCTTATACTGGGTTGTTCTAGAAACTGGCCCAAAAGAGCCATGTGGGCCCATTTCCTTGATTTTAAAGGGGCTCAAGATAGGGGTACCCATAAAGGTGTTTGAACTTATTTGTATTAGTGTAAACACTGAGAAAACAAAGAAATTGAGACTGTAAGGGCTGATTAATTAAACAAAGTTTAGCTGCTGTTCAACAAAACCATGCTCTAAACTGTCTTCAAATTAGCTGAACCTAAAACCTGAAAATTTATGTTTGTTAATGGTGTCAACAGGGCTGAAAGCTAACATTGGAAATAACTTTTATTTCATTAAATCAACCCTCTCAAAGAGAATACCTGTCACCCACTGCTTGCATAAAACCACATTTTGGGTTGGATCTCAAGTAAATCACCAGCTCTAAGAGACTGTAAAGTATGAAGGGAGTTTTAAAAAGTCACTGTCATATCAATGTTTTTGTTCATTATGTTTGCCTGTATGTATCTAGAGAAAAATTCATGGGCACAATTTTTTCTGCCCTATTTGATGCAAGATGCAAATTCTATGCAGCTTTTTTTTTTTACTTTCAGAAATCCCTCAAAGCTGGGCTGTAAAATGAACCCTGCTTATATTATGTGACAATTTTCCAGTCATTATAAATCAAAAGTGGAAGAATAATTATCTAAGACATGTATTCATCAACATGTGTTACAGTGTTACAGTGTTACAGTTTTAATATACCATGTTGAGCTACACATGCACAGATAAACAACGCACCCATGGCATGTGTAGTGCATTTGTTTTCTAAGGGATTACTTCCAAGAGCTTATTGGTGTGTTTTTGTTTTCACACCAATTTTTTATATAATTGTGAGACAGAGCCTTTGAAAGACACAGATTTGAAACAAATTGCAATTCAATATTTTTATTTGCCATTCAGCTTGACTCTCCACTTCATAGGATCAAGTGGCTTCGTGTCATTTTAGATGAAGGTCACACTATACGGAATCCTCAGACTTCTTTGACCAAAGCAATGATTGACTTGGTGGCAAAGCACCGATGGGTTCTCACAGGAACCCCAATACAGAACAGGTTGGATGACCTGTGGTCTGTGGTCAAATTTTTGCGTCTGGAGCCATTTGATGATAAAAAATGGTGGAATGCTGCCTTGGCATCCAGCATGAGGAGAGGAGATGAACAGGCAGTCAAGTAAGCTGTGTAATATTTGGTGTGAAAGTGTTATTTCTTTGAATTATTTCATGCCTTGTATATGCTTGTCAAGTTTCTGAGGTTTATTCGGAAATTGACAGATATTGCCGAGTGCAATTGTCATTTACTTAAGATTTGCTTTTTCTATAAGAGCACACTTCTTATCTCTTGACCCGCCATCTTGTGCTTCCAGTCGCTTACAGAAACTCCTCAAGCACATCTCAATCAGAAGGCTGAAAACAGATCAGGATGATGGAAGACCACTGGTAAAATTGCCTCCCCGAACTGTGGTCATTCAAGAAGTGGAACTGTCGGAAGAAGAACGAACATTATATGACTCCATGCAGAAACACGGACAACTGATCATCACAGGGTGAGACTTTTTGAGGCACTGTCTGTTCCGTTATCTATCTGGTTTGGGTTCATACAGAGTCTAAAACTCCTGGCAAAGCTTAGAGTCAGATAACAGGGTAATTTGGTATTATCAAGTGAGTTGATGAAGCTAATTATTGGCCACCATGAAGAGTTTGAAAGCTGACTTCTCGAGCGTCAGCCTTCGTGCGAATTACCGAGGGCTGACGCTCGAAATGTCAGCTTTGAAACTTTTCACGGTGGCAAATTTACGCCAACAACTCGGTTGATAAAGCCAAATTATCCTGTTATACTCTCCCACCGACGCAGCACCACAGTTTCTTTAGAAACTTAGCCCCTTTATTCCTTTAGCTTTGCCGGATAGCCTCCTTCAAAGCCGTTCTCTGATCTGGCCGTGTAACGGCTCCAGCGGAAGAAGCTGCTAGTACGGGTGGGGGAGGGGTGGGGGAGCGTCTTGCATGACTAGATCATTGAACGGCTGAGAATAAGACTAAAAATTGGATACTTGCAAACTACTTTTCGTAGCTGGAAAAAGTTTGGCAAAAAATGGAACGAGTTTTTCCACTATTTGTTGACAATCGCTTGATTTTCGAGGGAATGTTTGTTAGCCCTGAAATTACGACTGTTGCTATCTCCAGAGAACTTGATCCGAAACTTTTATTCCGTAACAGATATATTCAGAATGGAACAGTCCTCGCCAAGTATGCGCACTGCTTTGCAATTCTCATGCGTCTTCGCCAACTTTGTTTGCATCCAAAACTCTGTGAGGAGGAATGTCAGTCGTTGCAGCGTGCTCAGGATTTATTGCAAGGTATCTATAATTGATCTTATATGTAGAATGATATTTTTTGAAAACATGATATCTGCTTTGTATGGTGAAGCTACCTTAGAGGGTGTTAAGAAATATTTTTTAACATTTGTCACGTTGCTATAACAGAGAAAAAAAATTCTCAAATCAGTTTTTCAAACCTAGCCAGTTACCATTTGCGGTCGGGTGGGAATCGGTTGCTCCTAAAACTGTGCCACCGAAAATCGGTATCTAGCTAGGCCGGATAAGCTTCATATGTGAGAAGCGTCCTGCATGCTGGTAAGATCATAAACGATGAAAGCGTCCGGTGTGGTAAGAGAGAGAGAAATTACAGATTTTTGGATCTTCAAATAAAAGATATCGAACATTTGGCGCGGGTGTGGGTTGTTTTCACTTGTCGCGATGTTCATATTGCAATGACCAGGTCAGATGTACTGTATATCTAATCTTTTCTTTATTACAAATGGTCGCTTTTTTTAATTCCAGGACTTGAAGACTCTGATGATGATGACCTCGATATGGACTATAATAATCAACGACTTATCAAAGATCTACTCGCGACTCTGTATTCGGGAAGTGACGAGGAATGTTCGGTATGCCTCGACTCCCTGGTCGAACCAGTCATCACTCGTTGTGCGCATGCCTTCTGCCAGCAGTGCATCATGGATGTGATAACATCAGAGAATCTTGCTCCGCACTGCCCTCTGTGTCGTGCGCCCCTTAATGAGAACGAACTGATTAAAGTTCCCGAGAAGAAGAAACAAAAATCACCGCCTGCAGAGAAAACTAGCGAGGAATCGGAAGGAAAAGAGAAAAGTTCTAAGGTCTGAAAGTGTTCTTATAGGCAGTGTTTCGTTGTGTAGCTGTGAAAACCAAACTGACTAAAGCGCGGGAAAACGCAAGCGACCAAGCCGCCATTGGTCTTATTTTGCCATGTGATTGGTCGAGAGGGGGGTTTGAGTTTTCTAGTTCAATCACAGAGCGAAGCAAATTTATAATTTTTAGAATTTTTTGTTCGATACTCATATGAAAGTCGCCTGATTTTATTGATTTTGTCACCTACAAGATTTCATCGAGATCTCTGTGTTTTTAGTTGAATGCCTTGATGGGAGCGTTATGTGCCATCCGAGATAAGGATCCCTCTACAAAAAGCCTTGTTGTTTCTCAGTTCACGTCATTTTTGGATCTCATCGAAGAGGCGCTTCACAAAGAAGGCTTCACTTTTGTCAGGTTGGACGGGAGGATGATGCAAGAGGCCCGGGCCCGAGCTATAGAGAGCTTTGCCGACACTAGTTCCAGTTCACCAACAGTGTTTCTGTTGTCACTGACAGCTGGTGGCGTGGGCCTGAATCTGACAGCTGCCACACGAGTTTTTCTCATGGATCCGGTATGTTCAACACTTTCCGTTGTAAACATTGCATGAATAGCATCAGGTCTACCTAGTATTCATTTGAAGAAGGTCTGGACTCCGTAAACTCCTTGCATATTTATAGGCAAACGATGCTGCGACAGACTTGTAACGAGACATACTTATACTTTTCTGTGGTGAATTGATGTTTTAGGCTTGGAATCCAGCCATTGAAGAACAGTGTTTTGATCGTAGCCACCGACTGGGTCAAACGAAAGAAGTTATTATTACTAAGGTTGGTGTTGAAGATAGTTCTGAATCTTAACCGAGTGGCGTTGCTTGCGCAGTGTCGTTGACTGTGAGCTTATCTTTCAGTACATTGTGATGAATTCCGTGGAAGAACGTATGCTTACATTGCAAGAACAGAAGAGAACGCTGATGAGCCAGGCCTTCGGTGTACAGAGGCAGAGCCAGGAAGAGAGGAGGCGGGCTCGAGTCCGAGATATCAAGCATCTGATTGGTCTATGATGAAGGAAATATGGACATTTAACGACTTTTGGATTTGCCAAAAATGGCTGAATCGTATACAGCATTTGACTTTGACTCGTCTTTCATTGTTAGATTCTCGTTCATGTTAAGGAAGAATTTAAAAACTCTCCAAAGAGAAAACGCTTGTTTAAAAGGCAAGTGAAAAAAAGGTGCAACTGTTTTGAAATCAAGATGAACTGAAAATGTTCCGTTTAGTGACGTTTGATCCACCAATATCACGACTCGCCAAATTCCCTTTCACTTAGAGCTTTAAATACAGAGCCCCTTAGAATTAAAAAAATGCCCTCTCAAGTGAGAGAAAACTTGATGATAGCGTCGAATAACAATGTTTGTGATGTTTCCGTGAAATAAGTAAAGGATTACGGTTTGTAGCACTGTAGAAGACAATTGCTTGTTTCTAGAGGTGACTTGTTTTCCTGTTTTATCAATTTCTCTGATGTCTTTTTTAATAAGGTTCTTTAAAATTGAACTAGAAGGTTTGTATTTTAAAAGATAGATATCCATTAGAAATTAATTCAGACATGCTAAACAACTCGGAATGTTATACACGTATTTTAATTGAAGATGTATATTTATGTGGTGATAGTAACACCTGCTGGTGATGAAGTCACCCGAGGTTGCTAAATAGTATTAAACGACTTTTGAATTTTTTGCTCTGGCTATTTGTTTAAATTATTCACTGGGAGGGAGATATAACGCGATGACACTAACTCAAGTAACTTTCCAAAATCGTGACTTGGATGATTATTTGGCGAGTAGGTGCGAAATGTTTCACTGATGTGACTATTCCAAATAATTTCACTTGAACGGTGTCAAAAATGAAGAGGTTAACTGTGCGAGACTTCCAGGCATAGCGACCTGGTGTCAATGTCACGTAAGCACTTGTCACGCGAAGTAATTAACAATGTCCCTTGTCTTTGGCTTGTCACCGGATATCTCGCGAAGCTTTGTGATGCGGTCAGCTTCTGAGACAAGAGAATGTGCTTTTGTGGCTTAAGCTTACCATTTAGACGATTCTCTAATAATCTTTAGTTTTCAATCGTGGGCTTGGTGAACATGGTCTCGTCGCTGTTAATTCTTGTCACTTTCGTGTTATTTGCGAGAATATCAGCTGAGTTTCAGGGACCTGACACCCAAAGCAATCCTAAAAATGACGGCAACGATGACGAAGAAAAGGCCAAACTAAGGTTTGCTATTTATCGTGAATACTCTAAGCTCTCTTTAGACTGTACCTGGTTAAAAAAAAAAAAAGTTAGGTTTCTATCTTTAACTGCCTGGTGTTGAACTTCTTGTCAATGTAAGGTATATATGAACTAAGATATTTTTACTATTATGACGTGTGACGATGAAAGGCATTGGTCTACTTTAAGAGAATTATTGTATTTCTGAAACAGGACAGGTTTGTTAATTTTTCCCTCAGAAGAAATGTTTCTTTATATGTGTGTGTGTTGAAGAATATTGAACAGAATTCTCCGTAATTCACGGAAATCTGTACCGTTACAAATGTGTTGCGTGACGGTTAAACAATGACTGTTCTACACTCGTCACGCAATGTTTCAAAGAAGCTTTCAGATGGCTGAAATGAAACTAACTAAAATTGTAAGGATTTATTTAAAAAACAAAAGATTTTGGGAAAAGCTATCATCTCAAGTTTTGTAGGAGAACTTTCTAGGGTTCCAGGGCGGATGTGCCTAGGTTGCATTACTCAGTTTTGTATATTTTGAAGTAGCAATTGGTAGAGTGAGGACCACATCCAAATTCTTCTGTTCATGAAATCATAAGTCGCTTAAACAAAACTGTGTTTTCTCCTTGCATTGTAGGTCAGTTTTATTATTGATTGATCGAAACGGTGACAGTGAAATTTCAGTCAAAGAACTTTCTGCTTGGACCCAAAAGAGCATGAGAACTTTTTACAGACAGGAGGCCGACGGTAGACTGAGTTCACTGGACTCTGACAAAGACAGCAAGGTTTCCTGGGGAGAGTATGTCAAGGGTGCTGAAAACAGAGACGGTAAACATTGTGACACCTCTTACCCGCCCCAAGCCCCCATGTCCCCTTGCAATAATGATGACGCAATGTTTTTATTTCTCTGTATTTCCCAATTTTCACTCTTTTTAAGGACCCTTCCTTTCTACCCTCCCATCTATCGAATTAATTCTCGGTTTGCGGCAGGAGCCCATTACTAGACTCCTGTTTGCAGCTGCTGTGGTAGTGAGAATTACTCTTCAACACTTTTGCGGCTGAAACTTTGCATTTAAACTGTGTGACGTTCTAATGGATCATTTTTGACAACTTGAAACTACACGATGGTTTTGTTCCCAATTATGTCAACTTGCAGGTTTTACAGAAAAGCAAAAAAGGCGTGATAGAAGAAGATTTGAACACGCTGATGCAAACAGAGACAGTTTGCTGTCACGCGATGAACTGATTTCCTTATTCCACCCCGAAGAAAGTGCAAATATGTTTGGAGTAATAGTTGAGGTAAGGAGCTGTGCTTGAAAAGTCCTGATATGAGTTCTTTTTTGACCTATATAGTGATACGCATGAAATTTTTTTCTACAGAATTACAAACCGAAAACAAAATTTATGTTAAAAGGGGTGAGTTTCTTAAGAAACTGTGGTGCTGTGTGTCGGTGGGGGAGTACAGCAAGATAACTGGATTTTATCAACTGAGTTGGTAATGTAAACTGGCCACCGTAAATAGTTTAAAAGCTGAAGTTTTGAGCGTTTGAAGAGCTAACGCTCGAAACGTCAGCTTTTAAACCCTTTCCGGTGACTAATTAACATTATCGACTCAATTGATTAAAAAACAAATCATCAACTTTTATGTCAACTTTCTTCCATTCTGAGCCAAAAGCTAAAACTGAAGATGATTTCTTTTAGGAGTTCATGGAATACATTGATAGCGACAATGACGGTTTTCTATCATTTAAAGAGTACAAAGGTAAACCTTTTTCCTTTAAATTTCTTTTCCATGTTAGGTCTGACCTTACCTATAAGTTTACTGAAAGAGTTTACAAATACTTTTGAATTCCTCTGAGATGCTGATGATAAGTTTGAAATTATGCTGATTAGTTCACGCACTGTTTATTTCCGTGTAGGGAAAACAGCAGATACTGGAAACGCGGATGAACACTCAGCGAAAGAATCCTTTAAGAGACTGGATAAAGACAGTGATGGAAAACTTAACAAAGTATGCATAGCATATAAGGGATATTTTAACTTTGAATTGTTCAGAAAACCGACCAATTCATGATTAAGAATTTTTGGGCTAGTCAAGATATGTAGTTCGGTGCTGAAAAGTTTCTCAGGCGGGCTCTACTAAAGGATCAGATGAAGGAGTTTGAAAACATGCAACAAAAACAGAGCCTTGGGCTTAATCTGAAAAAAATTGAACTGGGAAGTAAGGAAACTTTGGGAGCATTTTAATCGTAGTTTCTATCTCAGCTGATTTTACCTCCTTTCCTGTCCTAAGGAGGAGATGAAGCTGTGGTTAGCAGCAGTAAACACCTCGGCCCAAGCAAATAATCAAGCACAAAGACAAGTTAAATTAGCCGACGATAACAAGGTAATCTATTTTCAGATGATGAAAGATGCGTGATAGTTGAGAGTAACCGGAGGGTGTGCCCCGAAGTCCCGTCTATTTTCTACATACCTTCGTCTTTTGGATAGTACCACCTCTGGAAGAGGTGGTGGAACGTTTTAAATAGTGGGTTAAAAAGAAGGGGCGTCACCGCAAATTAGGCCGAGCCCATGCTTCTATAAAAATTTCCTTGAATGTCTTTCAACTTGTTCGTTAGCACAAGCAAAATTTTTATGTAATCTTAACTGTGTCCAGTGTGACTGAAACCAACTTGTGGCAATAAAGAAGTCGATAGTTGTTCCAATTTATTTTGTCAAGTGCGATGAAAAGATTTTTCGAAAGATCACCAGAATATGTAATGTAGTGCGTTTCTAATAATTTCCACACTGAAACGCAAAAGGAAGAGACTGCGCCTATGTCCCATATCCCTTGGAGATTCACAGACTAATTTCTAGAGAGGCTTATTTTTTCATCTGTAAATACACACAGGATGGTGTTTTAAGCGAAAAAGAAATCATGAACCATATGGAGATTTTCACCGCCGGGCCTGAAGGATTCCAAACAAGACAAAAAGTTAAAGACGAATTGTGAAGACACTTAGCATAAAATACTCTTCTCTGGTCCCTCTGTTCGTCTTCCAAAGATGCAAACACTGAATTGAAGAGAAAAGGAAACAGAGAGGACGAGATAACAATAAGGGAAGCAACTTAAAACGAAAATACAACGGTCACTCTACGTTTTAACATTGGTTGGTGTTTTTTTGTAAGAAACTTGGGATCACGAAGATCTCATATAAGTATGCACTCTTTTAGATCAGTGGCTTATTGAAACCAAACTTGGGAATCGCGTGATATCACAACCACAAGCCCACGATTATTTTGGCTTATTGTCAGCGGTATGGTCTCCAAGAACGACCACACCGCTGACAAGAAGCCGAGATCGCCCTGGGCTCAAGATCTGTGATGTGATTGAGTGAAATTATACTATTGTAGGTAAATTTGGAATACCATTATCATTGTTTGAAAAAAACACAATGTTTCACGATGGTGCTAAGTCATTTGTTTGTTTAAAATCTTGTTTATACATGTTTTTAAATGACATTGAGACTAATGGCTTATTTTCATGCTGTTCTGGTTCAACAAGTTTGTCTATTAATCCCCGAAATTTTTACCACAATACCTTATAAATAACCTTGAAAAAAATGAAGCTAAAAAGCTCTGCAGGCGAAATCAGTGCAATAGTTTTGATAAGCGACCTATCAGTTCGCTAGAGAAATCGAAATACTTGTCTAGGAGGACCATAGTTTGTAACATTAGACAAAACTGAAATATCACAGTTGGCTTTTGTAAAGTGGTAAGGAATACGCGTTAAAAAGGCTTGTGTATTGCATGCATGCATTAGAAATTGATATTGTGATGTTTCCTTGGGTTTTTATTTAGAATTTACCATTTCCTATTACGTAGCCAGCGGGAGGCTCTGACGAAAGGTGGGATGCGGAAAAAATTGATATGCTGACTATGCTTGTAATTTTGGTAAATACAAAGAAAAGTGTAGTGCACTTTAAAGGATTTTTGGCTGTTTCATGATTCACCGGACATTTGACATAAAAGACTTGTATTCCGTGTTGTTCCATACTCTCCCCCCTCGGCTCACTTTCTACGTTAAGTGGCATAGTTTATAGAGACCCTTTTGTTAGATGTTTGACGACATTATTTTCGGCACGGTAGATTGCGCATCAGCCGATACCATAAGCTACGTGGCTTCACACGAAGCATACAACGTGTACTATACTTGACAAAATCTTGGATCACCGATACAATATATGCCGGTTTAGTTAAACTTGTCATAAGATAGTTCAAAGCGCTCTTTAAGTAAAGCATACGAACCTTAGTTTCACAATGTTTCGAGTTTGGAGTTCGTATTGTCTTGTGTTGTGTTGTGGTTGCATTTTGTATGCGTCCGCTTTCTCATCGCAAAAAGATACAAAGAAGGTTTCTAAAGAAGATACCGAAAAGAAAGTCAACAATACTGTCATGTAAGTAATAAAACACACGTGTAGCTATGTAGTATTCAAGAAGATGTTGGGAATTGGGGTTGTTTGTCGTTGTAGAATATTTCAAATTGGCGTCAGTTTAGGGGTATTTGAAAGCCGAACGAGATGGAATTTGTTTGTTGGTTCATTTGTTTGTATGCAAGTCAATTAGGAAGCTAAAGGCCAAGTGTTTGTACTTTTTTGCCGCTTCTTTGATTTGGAATTTTTCCTTTTTGGACCAGACTCCAAAAAAGCAACATTTCAAACGTAAACTAGACCTCTGTCCCTTAACTGATCAATGTTCAATGACCGTGACATGATGTTAAAATTAGCATAATGAGCAAAACCGCTGTCTGTTGAATTCCTTCGAAGCTTTGAAAAAAAAAATGGCAGAAGGAGAATTCTGTGATATTTTGAATGAAAAGCGATATAACTGCAATAAAGCACACCCTATAGGATTCCTGTACTTACATATTCTAATTTATTTCTCTTTCCGCGTTAATTGCAGTTTACTTCTTGAAGTCATGGATAAGGACAAAGATGGCAAAGTAAATGAAGAGGAAATGACTGCCTGGGTTAGGAAAACTTTGAGGAAAACTTACAAAGAGGATTCTGGGCAAATTATGAGTGAATTGGACACCGACAAAGATGACAAACTTTCTTTCGAAGAATTTCTCAAATCCGAAGAAGACATTGGAGGTAATTGCATAGCTCTTGAAGTTTGCAATTTAATTGTGAGTCTGTTTGCTACACAAACTCTCATCTTCCTTATAGACGCTTTTTTTTTTGACGCTCCTTTTTAATAGAGTCACCTAAAACTGCATCTAAAAATAAGCTTGTACGTAAATTGGTTATATATTTCCCTTGTTATTTAATCGTTATTTAATTTGTTTGTTTGTTTTTGCTTTTTTGTTTTGTTTTGTTTGTTTTTTCATTGTAAGTATATTATTTGTCTATTTTTCTATTAATTATTATTATTATTTTTATTATTATTCACTATTTATTTCCTACAGTCGCTGCAGAAGAACAAAAGCGAAAAAGATTCAATGTTGCAGATGCCGACAAAGATGGCCTCCTGAACACTGATGAAGTCACTTCCATGTTTCACCCAGAGGAGAGACCTCACATGTTCGAAGTGATTATTGACGTAAGATTCTTTTTTTTCCCTTCAGATTATGCTTCACCCCTCGCCTTGCAAGTACTCGGCATGTACAACAGTTAGTCAAGAAAATTTGCGCCTCCTCTCAACCAATGGGATGCAAATTAAAAACTCGGCAAGCACGACTCGGTCACTTACGATTTCCCGCCGGAAATCTTTGGTAGATTTTTTTGTTTTTTACTTCAAGTTCTCTTTGGTTGGCTCCATGTGAAGTTTCCTTTTCTCTGATCGGCCAACGTAATTTTTTGGTGTTAGTGTCACGATAGTCAATCGAAAAGTTTGCTAAATAACCTTTACTCCACCATATAGGAATACATGGAAGTAGGAGACATAAACGGTGATGGACTTCTTTCACTAGAGGAGTACAAAGGTAATTAGTATTTTTTTAATTACTTCAGGAGCTGAATGAATTAGTCGAAGAACGTGATTTGGATTTTACTTACAAACGAGACAATTTCTTTCAGAAAAAATGTTCAAAGGAACTAAAGCAAATCTGGAAGCTGCTGATAAATTCTACGGCGAACAAGATAAAAACGGAGATGGAAGTTTCGACAGGGTAAGTTATTTATTTTTCATTTCTTTTTAACTGAGCATTGATTTAAGGGATCAGTCACTATTTTATAGCTTGGGGGAGGGGATGGGGGTGGAAGATGGGAGGAGGGTTTTGGGGATAACATAGCTTCCAGGGTAAACGGAGTATAAAGAGAGAATATAGAAAATTGGATGGCACTTACCTGCCAATAAAAGGCGGAGGGGGGGAGGGGAGGGGGTTCGTAGGAATATTACAGAATCTTGGCGGGGGGGGATCAGATAAATTGTATCGTGACAACCGATGATGATGAATAATGGCTGGTCCCTTCATTAAGGCTTTTTGTGTTATGAGTAACTGTCAAAGTAATCAGCGAAGAATCGTAAATTTTGATTCATATGTCCATAGGTTTTCGCCAAATCGTCGGGATTCTTCGGAAAGTATCCGCTGAGGTCGGGTGTGCTCTAGTATCGCACCAAAGAGAGGCTTCGTGGCTGAGCCTTGGTTTCAGTTGAAATAAAGTTTGCTTATTTATCGATGTTCTTTCTTCTAGGAGGAAATAAAAGAGTGGTTAAGGTCAATTGGTACTTCGTCTTTGGCTAAGAGACAAACAAAGCAAGTTCTTGAAAGGGCAGACGATAATAAGGTTAGCCGTTGTGGCTATCACGAGGCCACACCCTCGTTTTTTGTCTCCAGTTACGTGTCGGGGCTCTTAAAGGAAAGCTGTAGCTGAATGAAGTGAGGGGCGCTCATTCGAAGGAGGGCGCTTAATCGAGGGCGGCACTTATTAAGTTATTAAGATGGCGCAGCAGTGGGACAAAAATCAAAAGAACAGATATCGCAGAGAAAGGAATTATGCAAGCAAATGGAGATAGAAATAACTAGAATGGGAAAGAAACTTTCTTCTTTTACCGATTCAACTGTAATTGAAGCCTAAAAATTACAAATGAAGTGGCAAAAAAAACAGGTTTCACTTGTATCCCTGCTATTTAAGAATAGTATTTAAGAGGGGGAGGAGGGGGGGCCCTTACTCGAGGGGGGTGCTTGTTTGATATATTGGCCAAGGGGGTTGGCACTTATTTGGAAGAGGGCGTTTATTAGAGCGTGGGCGCTTATTCGAGGAAATAGAGTATTTTGCATTCTCATAATGTAATATCTCTTTATTTTTCTAGGATGGTGCTATCACTGATAGCGAAATTCTCAAGAATATCGATCTTTTCACTTCAGTTAGAGAAGTTCTGGAAAATGAGAAGAGAAAGGCCGAAGAGGCTGAAAAGGCTGAAAAGACTGAAAAGGCTGAAAAGACTGAAAAGGCTGAAAAGACTGAAAAGGCTAGGGTTGAACTTTAGAAACAGCGAGATTTTTTGTTACTCTTTTTTCTCTTTGATACTAAACAAGTGTATGTCTATGAAGTTCCTCAGACAAAATAAAATAAAATGATTATAAAATTGATTACACTTCGATCACGTTGAACAATTTCTTTATTATTTTAAAGAAAAATGTTGATAAAAATAAATAGAGAATCATCAGTTTCATATACATTCCAAATACACCAAAATGATACAGTGCATTAGGTGTTAAAAAAGTCTGCGAAGAATTGTTGCAAAATCAAACTTCACAGTCACAACAATCAGCTTTTTAAGACTTGCGTTACATTAAACAGAATTCTGTATCCCTTCTGTCCGCAAGTAATCTGATAGTATTCCTCTACTTCTTCCCCTTCCCACTCCCCCTCGGTCTCCTCTTCGCGAGTAATTCCTGGTAAGTATTTTCCTTGCGCAATCTTTTAAACCAAAGTTCACAAGTGAATCATCGTGAATGAATTATTAGAAATGATTCAATACACTGAGAGCAAAAACACATGTAAATTGAAGACAAACAGAGTAAGTTTTTTTTAAATCCAGTATTTGAAAACTGGATTTTAAAAAACTCTCTTCATGCAAGATATTTACTTTTTTTACGAGTTTTTGATCGGCTATGGCATACATTTTAAGATCTTTGTCTGAACAGCTAGAGACAATGCTTAGCCGCCGACACCGGTAAAGCTCACATTCAAGTACTTTGGTCTAAAGACAAACAATCAAATATCAGTTTAGCTTGAATTTAGATTACACGCTAGACTGCCTCGCTAATTCAAGACCCTTTGTGTCAGAGTATAATACATTGATATCGGAATGGTTGTTTGGTCTTAGATGACTCGGTGAACATTTTTTTTTCGTTTATGTTAAGACATCCACTAGATTTTAAACTCGATAAGAAACTGTGAGAGATGAAAAACATGAAGTTATAAATCCAATTCTGATGTAATTCTCGAAGAGCATTGTAAGATTTTATTTTTAAGTTCGCGGTATAAATATTTCTGGATAAAGTTATTTCGTGTTTCAAGGGCATTATGAGGGAGTTAAAACTGTTTGAAGTACTTTTGTCATACGGCTTGTACTGGGGCACTAATATGTTTGACTGACAGCCGACATAACGGAAGGATGCGCATCGTCCAATATTCTGAGAAACGTGGCTTTACACGAAACGATATCAGGTGCCTTTAAATTCAAGAACTCTCAGAAAAAATTCATCGTTTGTTGGTCCGTCTGTCAGTTCAGCTCGTGTAATTTTGTTGCGTTCGTGCGATTGAAAATGCTCCGAGGTCTCAGCATTGTGGGTTTCGTTTCGCTCTGTGTATGCACCCTGAGTGTGTCGGCCACTAAACTGTTTTACCCGCCATTACCCAAAGTATCGGAAGAAGACCAGTACAAAAAGGGGGAACATAATTTTGAATACGACCATGAAGCTTTTCTCGGCCGAGCACTATCTTCGGAATGGAGCAAACTACCTGCTGACGAAGTGATGGAAAAACTTTCGTAAGTAGCTTTGTTGCTCTGTTACTCCGTCGTTTACTCAATTAATAAGTTTGTTTTTCCTACTGTCGGAAAATTACACCACCAGTATGAGGAGAACACAAAGAATTCTCGGTACTGTAGAGCACGTTGTGAGGGGGCGCTCTCGCTATTAGAATAAACTTCCCTTCAATTGTGCGTTGTAGATTAAGGTTATGGAAACATTATTTTAAGTTCAAGTTCTTTTGATTGACTGTTGTCCCATAGAAGAGGTTACATTTCATTTTATTTAGATGGACAAAATCAAGTGAATCGTCACTTTTATAACTTCTAGAACTCCTTCATTTTTAAAAATGGCTAATATAGCCGGGAAATGCATTCAAAATACAGCGAATGTGTTTAGCTATGAACCTAATTTTAGCAGACTTTTGAGAAGGGATGATATTCTATCGTTTTGCTCCGCAACTTTCTGTAATGCTTACTCACGATGTAGATCAATTTTTTTCCAGTCGTTTGATGTCAACAGCTTTGTGTGTCAAACCACAAAATTGCCAGAGACACGGTTTGAAAATGACGTAAATCAATGATCTTAACGTCATAACCATTTGTGGTTCATTTCTGACCTACTGTGAGATTGCTTTTGATAGACGTTACCATGACAACTGAACAAGTCAATATGTCTAGGACCTAAGCCAAGCTTGAACGATTAAGATCATTTGAAAAGACGCTGAACAAACGCAAATTTTCCGCCTTCGAGACCACGCAAGCGTGTGTCTTTCAAGGATTTATAATATTGCAATTAATCGTGCCAAGGATTTGAAAAGAAATTACGAAACTCGTTGTTTTCTTTCAGCGCTAAAGACATAAAAGTGTTCCATTGCTCTCAAAGGATTCTTCTCGTAACAGAATATTTTTCGCATCAAAAGTTACAAAGTGGTTAAACTGGTTACCAGGACTTTTTTTCGGTCTGAGTGGTCAAAGCGAACATTTAGATCGAACGCTTCATCGTGGTGACTTTTGGAACCAGCTATGTGATAATGCCATAACCTCATCCTTAGGAAATTTGCATTTCATTCCATCTCAATTTATTTTCAAAATCATTGATAAAATTTTCATCAACACTTTCCGGTATTCTAAAGTAAAAGACGTTTTTCTTCATCTCTCGATAACAGGGAACTGTTCCCCAAAATAGATGTCGATAGCGACAAGAAAATCTCAATTCCTGAGCTGTATGGATGGATTGAACAGCACATGAAAAAACATGTGTTGCGCCAGGCTGATCTAAAAATGCAGGATATGGATTCGAACAAGGACGGCAAGGTATCATGGGAAGAGTACAGGGAGACCCAGTACCCTTCGTCCACAGAAAAAGGTGAGAAATTCTGTTCCATACGTTCACATTCTAACCAGTTTAAAATTTTATTTCCTTGAGGAAATATCTGTCCCTTTGGGAAGAAACATGAAATCCTTTTATCGTTCATTAATTGGTTTGAATTATTGAAGTTCCTGGTGAAAAAATAAACAATTTGCGTCTAAACCGGACGTGTTCCGGAGGTTCCGAATTCCACTCACATGGATTTGAACAAGTCTTCGTTGTATCTATTGAAGGCCTCAAAGAGAAAGGTCTTGGGGAATTCAAGATATTAGTCTCACGTGAAAAGAAGCGATTTGATTTTGCTGACACAGACAACGATAAAGTACTGTCCCGTGAAGAACTGTCTTTTCTCCTCCATCCCGAGGAGTCCAAAAGGATGACTTCGTACTTCATTGAGGTAAGTGTCACGTGATTCGTACAAATGCTGGGGAAAACTGTCTATTAGGTCATGGAATACGTCATCGTACTCAAACAAGTTAACATTTTCTATTTTTTTTCGCCTTTTCAGGAAAGTTTGGACATCTTTGACACAGACAAGGACGGAAAAATATCCGTTGACGAATACCTTGGTATGTAAATTAACGTGTTCATTTCGCTATTCTCTAAGGACATCTGCATATCCATGTCATGGAAGGTCTTCCTTAATCTATTTTTTTCCTGTGCAAAGGGGTGTGTTTCTCTCCATGTTAGATAAGGCATAAAACATACAATTTGTGCGCGTTATGTACGGCTACATGTTTGGAATCAATTAGTTTTCGTATTGCTTGGTTTTGAGCCATAGTCTTGGAACGAACTCAGAATCAATTGTTCTTTTTTTAGCCTGCTGACATCAAGATCATTATGCTTAGCTATTTCAGGTGTTTGCCTGATAATTTAACGAGAGGGGGAGTGGAGGGAGGGGATAAGATTAAACATGGAGAGTAAAATGATTGCTTCTTTTTTACTGATTTATCACAACAGGGAATGAAGTGAACAGGCTTTCTAAGTCAATGCTTGATGTGCTCAAAAAAAGTTTTAATAAAGAACTAGACTCGAACAAGGATGGATTTCTTGACAGGGTACGTCTTTTCTCAATATGGGAGGTGCGAATGGGTATTTCCTGTTCTTTCATAGAAGACGAATCAGATCATTTTATAGAGACTAGGGGGCTCGTTTGCCACATTTTCGAGCTGGCTGAGATAAAAAAAAATGCAACCTCAAAAAAGCAAGAAAATATCATTTGGTAACAAGAATAGTTTAGGATTGCAAACGACGAACTATAAAAAAAATAAGGCTTACTTTTTAAAGATATATTAGCCTCGACGTAGTTCGCCTAGGTGAAAGGCATGATGGAGGGTATTTATCGCTTTTCTTCTTTGTATACCTGCAGAACGAGATTCGAGAATGGATCTTTCCCGGCGCGCATGAGGATCCTATATTAGTCGAGGCAAAACATCTTATGAAGGCAGGCGATGACGACAAGGTAATGATTTGATTGAGACCTGTCACTCTTAACATTATATTGCTTCAATAAAGAGCGTTGTTCAATCCATCTGAGGAAATGAAGGTGACGTCAGCAGCTTGGCGACAGCTTGGCAGGTTCAGATCTGCACAGCTGTTAGGATAAGTTTTTCAGTCTTTAAAAGCTTAAAGTGTCACACTTGGAGACAAACAAACAGAAAATGTGTAAACAGTACTTTGTCAACCTATGATGTTTTATTGTCTTTAATCTGACCTGTATTAAAATACAACATTTAGCTGTTTTGTTTTGTTTGTTTTGCAGGATACTTTCTTGACAGAAGATGAACTTATAAAGCACTATGATATTTTTGCTGGAAGTCGAGTAACTAGCTACGGAGATCTCCTTAAAGATGAATTATGAAACAGATTCAATGTAGCGACCTCTTCGGATTATAGATTGTAATTTTTTTGGTTTCTCGCGATATTGCGCTGATCAACTACCGCATTAGAATAATACGCACTGTTGATCTGTCACCTTGTAGAATCATCATTATCTCTAAATATATATTATCGTATCCTCGTTTTTCCTACATCCTTCATCTGTTGTTTGTCCTTTATATCGTGTGTTAGGAAAAACTTGAAATAAAAAAGAGAGAACTAGGCGTCAATGTGGTGGGGGAAGATGAAAATAGCCCGTATTTTGTACCGAGGGACTCGACTCATGTCAAACCACTTGGGTCCTCGAATAATTAATATCACAGTCAATATCAAGTTCCTCTTTCATCAACTGAGTAAGCTTATTTTTCCGTTTTATCTACCGGCCAAAGAGACGTCATTTCTACTTCTCCATCGGTCTGAGCAAAAACCGAAGTTTTCCTAATACTTATATCCTTAAAGCTTTCATTCCCCCCCCTTTCCCATCCACCCCAGACCTATTTGTACCAACTTCTCCCCTAACCGTATCGTTTCTCACGCGGAATATCTGGGTCATGACCGTGACAACCCAATTGACGGAATAATAAATTACAAAATTCCAAACGTCAAACCCACTTAAAGAGTATAATTCAGTTTTTTTCTCCTATGAATCTGACAGATTACCAGCTCTATCCTTTTTTATCTTATCTTAATCCTCGAAATTACGAAGGGTTTAGAGGCACCACTGGGCCACTGGTAATATTTACTTGTGTCAAGTTCTGCAATTCAATAACAAAGAGAGTAAGATTTTGTTACGCGGCCGAGCGGAAATAGGAGTTATAAATTTCAGTGAGATAAGATCGCAACTGCGGGTTACGAGTAGCTTCAAAATTTGCATTCGCACCAAGGGCTAGTTTCGATATCACGTTAATTACACCGCAATGGCTTCTGCTATTAGCTCTTTTGTCATTCCAAGGGAAAACAGCAATCATCCAACTTGTAAACTTTGCCGCAGCGCAGAACTGAACAACAACGTCAAACTACTTGGCTGTCTACACGAATTTTGTGAAGCATGTCTCAAGAAATTCCTGGTCGAAAATTCTGTTATTTGCCCTCACTGTGGAAAGCGAATGCTACTTGGCGATCAAGGAATAAATGGACTTCCATCTCATGCGTTTTATGATCAAGTTAAAGACATCAAGAATTGTGATCAGTGGATTCGACAACGGAGGGACGCCTTTTGTTGGGAGATGTAAACAAAGGACTACTTACAATGGTTTTACACTTTGTTTCGTACACATCACAAGATCAGGAAGAGAGAAGTTAATTCTAATTTTTAAATAACGTGTTTCAGTCCCTGAATTCCAGTAGTCTTACAAAAGACTTTAAAAGCTAGAAACGAGAAACAGCTGCCACTGGCAATAGACAGTAGACAAGCACATTTCAACGGTGGATAATTAACTCATGTTACGCATAAGTTCGTAAAACTATAAAGGAAGAGAGTTCCTTAAGTTAGAAAACTTTTAGATTCGATTATCTTGTAAACCTTTATAAAAGAAGTTTCCGCTTTATTTTTAATTCTGAAAGTACAGATGACTTTGAAACATACAGAGCCGAGGAAGCTTGACCCTAAGTTAAACGACCTTTACCTAATTTGAATAACAACCTTGTTTATCTGATAAATTGTTTTGAGTTTGTAGACATTGATAAGCCATTGATTTATGTATGCATCTGCTAGATTTAAGAACTTTGATTCAGAAATATTTTTGAAAGGGTTTACCATCAGCTGGAAAAGCTATGAACCAGTTCAACTTCCTGTGTCAAACTCGATTGCGTTTTAGACGTAAGTGAGAGGTTTGGTACCCTGAGGGGTCAACAAGCTATAGTGCCAAATCTTGTTGAGATATATTTCTTTCGTCATTCAATCCAAAAAGGTAAACATGAACATCAAGACCGCCAAATTTTACGCTCGAATAGGATTTTACATAATGGGAAATTTCTAGAATACATTTTGGTCCATCCAGATTCTCAAAATATCGCCTAGGCCAGAGAGAGAGGGGGGAACACTTACACCTTTCCCCCCCCTCCCCCCTCATTCTTCGCCCGACAAAGTAGGAGGATTTTTCGTGTCGATTTAATCACCACTGAGATAATCTTGAAATTTAATCTAAAATTCTTTTAAACTTAAACCAATTATGCCATTTTTTTTTTTGCGTCTAATAAGGGCAAAAAAAACTACCAACTACAGCTTCTTTTCCTATTTCTTTTTCTATCCAATTTTGAACCTCAGTTTGACAATTTAAGGCTATTTGAAGCACTGCAATGAACCAAAGAAAGATAAAGCTTTAATTATAGCTTGATTTTCTCTTGACTAAACGTCTTCAATCATTTCTACGTGTTGCCATTTGACGGTTCATTATGTGATGGGTTGGGGGGATCGTTGTCGCCTTCGACATGCTGCTGTATTAATTTACCACAGAATGTTAAGAGCTCGAAATAACAAAGGCGAGAAATACTAATATCTCACACCTCAATCAAGCTTACAACTCTAATAATTGGAAGAAAATAGTGAGAATACGAGAACACGAGAAAAAAGTGAGAAGAAACATGTGTGAATGAAAAAGAAAAAAAAAAGCTGTTACAGAGTATAAGCTGGCAAGACGAATTATTACAAATTACCAAGAACAAAAATCAAAATTACAAAGTCACGCAATATCATGCAGGTAAGAAATATACATTACACCAGCGAATGAAGTAAGATGTTTCATTGCCCTCGATCGGAAGTTTGTGAAAATAAACCAAATATTGTGCAAACAAATCATAACAGCGACGAAAAAAACTTTTGTTCCAGCTTATTGAAACTTTATCGCGTTTACGAAAAATAAATGTTTGGGCAGCTGAGGAGAACTAATTAAGACAAACAACGAAGAACTCAAAAGGGATACATTTCAAGGCTTAAAATGAGATCTTTCCCTTAAAGTATATATTGACAGCCTGTCAATAGTGCAAGAAAAAAATCAAGTCAAGAATAAACAATACATATAATAACGCGGTTTTGCTAAGGTGAGTTCAGTAATTGCCTTTATCTGCAAGTTTTGGGGGCTGTTTAGGGCCTAAATTTTTAGAAAACGGGAAGAATCTTTTTTTTCCGCTGAAAAATTGAAACTGAAAATGCAAAATTCATCTCGACTTTGCTGGAAGATGGATTTGTCATTTGAAAGTATTTCATCGACGATACTGGCCTTGTTAAACATTATCTCTGGCGTTTTAGCTGTGAGCAGTAATCTGTTAGTTTTAACGGCTATTTCCAAGTTTTCTGCTTTGAGGACAGTGTCGAACTTTTTCATTGCTTCCCTTGCTGTGGCTGATATATCAGTTGGAGTGCTAATGAATCCAGTTTATGCCTCCATCTTTATCGTAAATGCAACGGAGAATAATCATCCACTGAGAGTCACAGAGCACTGGTTGTGGCTTCAAACCACTGTAGTGTCAACTTTTACTCTAACGGCTGTATCCATTGAGCGCCATATCGCTGTTACAAAGTGCTTCCGCTATACCGAGATTGTTACACTTAATCGCTGTATTTATGGCATTGCATCGATATGGATTTTCTCCATTCTGTATGCTTCTCAAAGGTTTTTATTTCACGGCGATGAGGATCTTCCATCACTGTGGATTTGCACAACAATATTGACTGTATTTCTTCCTTTTTTTGTCATTTCGTATTGTTACGTTTACATCTTCAAGGCTGCCCGATCACAATGCATACGCATAGCGGCCGATAACAGCCTCTGCAAAGAAGTTTTGAAAAACAAGAAAGCTGCCTACGCGCTGTGCATAGTGATCGGTCTTTTGCTTTGTTATGGCTCCCGAGTCTCGCACTGTCCTTGTGGCATATTTCGGTCGCGGATCCTTTGGAAAGACAGTGCATTGACTACTTGTGGTTTTGGGCGGCATTTCTGTCATTCACTAGCTCGTTTTTCAATCCGTGGATCTATACAATTCGGACGAAAGAGTTCCGAATGGCTTTTCTGAAAGTATTACGAGTCAAATCAAAGTCTTGAGAAATGGACATCTGCGGACTACAATTCAAGTGATCACGATGACGACGAACCAGCAAGCATGTCTACTGTCCAGTTTTAGAGAGGAAAACTTATTCGTTAAGCATGCAGAAGAAAGTCCGATTTACTGACCCTTTTGGAGTGATGATGAAACTTCAAAAGTTTGTGAACACACAAAATGTGGTATAACACAAAACTGTAAAATATATTTAAAGAGGCTCTTATTTTCCTTAGAAGTAGTTTTATTGGTAGCATTATTATGATATCATATTATTGTTAACTTGGAAACTTAGTGAAGCTAGCGGAAGTCCAGTAATTGCATCATATGGCTAAAAAAAGATGGTGCACAGCCTAGTTACCAAGCTCTCTCTCTAGGTTTGTATTATTGGAAGAGCAAAGCGAATCTCTCTACTTGACGTCAACATTGCGTCATGGTCTACAATGGGGTCCAGGTTAGACCGAACCAAAACGGGGAGGTCACTAGGATGGATTGGATTCACAACTAATGAAAAGAAGCAGTTCTTTAATGAAAAGTAGCTATGTAAAGTTCACGGAAGAACGGGAATAACCTTACTACAAAACAGTCTTGTCCAATATATTCGATGCATTTTAATTATACAAGTATAATGACAAATTCTGTCAGCTCTGGGTAAAATAAACAATAACAAATGACTGTATCATTGCTTAGACGACCGCATTTAAGATTAGAATTATCACTTACTTGACATTAAAAAGAGTACAAAGACGTGCAACAAGATGGATTCTAGGCACCAGAATTGGGGAAATGAGCTACCGAGACCGGCTTATCAAGCTGAATTTGCTCCCTCTCGCCTACGACCGCGAACTTAAGGACCTTGTGTTTCTTTACAAATGTCTGAATAACTACACGGATCTAAACATCCTTAACTTTGTTTCTTTTATTTCCCACGGCCGCACCAGACGAAGTAATTCCTTCAATCTCACAACACCTTCGTGTAAAACAAGTACCTTTCAGGCCTCCTATTTCAACCGAACTGTTAAACTCTGGAACTCCGTATGTACCTTATCACCCCCGTCCAAGTTTTCTAACCCGACCACCTTTCAAACTTTTGTAGCTAAACACATGTTCTCTCTAGTCCGTTCAGTTTTTGATGTTAATAGTCCGTGCACGTGGTCAATTGTTAGGTCGTGTCCCTGTCATTGATTTTTAGTTATCTAGCACTTTTTCACCGTACGTTTTTACAATTTTTTTTTTTTTTTTTTTTTTTTTTTTTATTAAGGGTAGTGCCCCGCATGGGACTCCATGTCCCGTTCGCACTGACCCTTTTGGCGTATGTCTATCCATTTTTTGTCTCTTTCCTTGTATGTGTATTCATTTTGAGCTTGTAGACGTACCCAATAAAGTTGTTAAATAAATAAATAAATAAAATATATTAATAAAGTATTTTCTAAAAGTGATTTAAGTTGAGTATTTCACGAAGAAGTCGACATATTTACTCGGTAAAATAGTATTTATACAAAAGGGGAAAAAGCGGAAATTGATATCATACATGATGTTATGATTACGCCCTAACTCCGAGAACTTTTCATTGTTGTCCACGAGTTCAAAGCTGTGCTTGCAAAATTGACATTGATCTTTATTAAAATTATTCATTGTATCTCGTAAAGGCCTCTTGTGGAGGCTGATTCCTAAAAAAGAAAGCAACCATTTTATGACCATCATAAGCTGCATAACTTTGTAAAGAGACCAGCAAGACTTAATAACGACACAGTGCGAATAACGCGAGCTATTGCTGATTACACTCCAATAAAACTTCTCTGAAATCATAAAATTAATTGTTCCTTTCAATTTACACAGGTTTTTTAGCATAATTTATATTTTTCTCCCTAAAAAGAAAAGGTCACTTATAACTTTGTGTCGTACTCCCCTGATAAATTGGTCATATCAACTCCAGCTGAAACATTAATAATTACTAAAGAAGGGGCTTCTTTGAAATTATTTTCTGTACAGCAGTCAATCTTCGATTTTCCACAGAAAATAGCCTGTAAATCTTCACGAAAAGCCTTGTTGTAATAAGCAAATATTAGAGGATTCAAAATTGAACTCGCTAAAGAAAATGTTATAGATATGGGCTCAAGAAGCAAAAAAATGACGACTGCAGAGTCCAACTCCATACTTCCTGTGGAGCCTTCATTTTCATCTTCTTCAGAGACAT